CATTGTTTATTTTAAAGTCACACCAGTACTTTTCTTGGAATCTATGGCATATGTCAAAGGCAAACACACCATGTGTCTTTGCCTGTGTATTTCTATTCATGGAATATCATTAAATGTAGAGACTTCCAGCCCATATTCAAATGTTCTGGTTTTCCATATAGTACAGACTGTTCCACACTTAATGATGGTTCCACTTAACGATTTTTTGACTTTATTAGGGGAGAAAGTGATATGCATTTAGTAGAAACTGTATTTCCAGTTTTGAATTTTGACCTTTTCCTGGACTGATGATATGCAGTATGATGCTCTCTTGTGATGCTGGGCAGTGGCAGCTCCCAGTCAGCCACGCTATGAGTCCAAGATCAAGGTCTTAGAAGCTTTAGTTTCTTCTGAGGCCACTCTCCTCGGCTTGCACATGATCACCTTCTCACTGTGTCCTCACTTGGTCCTTTCTCTATGCCTGTGCATCTCTGGTGACTCTTTGTGTGTCCAGATTCCCTGTTATAAGGGCACTAGTCAGGTTGGATTAAAGCCCACACTAACAGCACTATTTTATTTTATTTATTTATTTATTTATTTATTTATTTTTTTCAAAATTTTTTTCAACGTTTATTTATTTTTGGGACAGAGAGAGACAGAGCATGAACAGGGGAGGGGCAGAGAGAGAGGGAGACACAGAATCGGAAGCAGGCTCCAGACTCTGAGCCATCAGCCCAGAGCCTGACGTGGGGCTCGAACTCAGGGACCGCGAGATCGTGACCTGGCTGAAGTCGGACGCTTAACCGACTGCGCCACCCAGGCGCCCTAACAGCACTATTTTAATTGATGCACCTCTTTAAAGGACTGTCTCCAGTCACAGTCACATTCTGAGATACTAAGGGTTAAGGCTTCTACATTCAAATTTGGTATGTACAAATTAGTACCTAGCATTCTCCATATAAGGTAAGATAAGATAAGGGAAGATAAGGTAAACCAGCAGCTCCAAGAAGTTTATAAGAATAAGGTTGTGATAAGAAAAGAGCATTTCATAAAAATATATATTGGGAAAAGTCTATTGAATTATTTTAACTTTTCCAATCCATTCTGAGTATGTTAAGATACACTAGGTGTCTCAAAGAGAAAGAAGACCAGACACAATACTCATTAGCTAGGTGTTGGCCAGGCTGATTTTTAAAAGTGTTTTGTCAGTTGCTGAAAGGCATTAAAGTTTCCAGTTATGGCTGTGGATTACTTCTCTCTTCAGTTTTATTGGTTTTTATCCCATGCATTTCAAAGCTCTAATATTAGAAGCATACACATTTAGGAGTATGTCTTCTTGATGAATTGATCTTTTTATTGTATGAAATACTCTTTAGCTTTGAAATCTACTTTGATTGATATTAATATGCCCACAGTAACTTCTCACATTTACTGTTTGCATGATGCATCTTTTTCCTTCACTATATTTGTGTCTTTATAATTAAGTTTCACCCTTTGTAGAGAGTATGTAATTCAGTCTTGCTTTTTAAATTCAAATGCCCTTGAATTAGAGTACACAGTTCATTAATATTTTATGTAGTCATTGAGATGGTTGGGGTTAGCGTCCATCAGTCTGTACTTGTTTTCTGCCTGTCATGGGGTCTTTGTTCCTCTGTTATTCCTTTCCTGCTTTCTTTTTGTTTAATTGAAGTTTTAACATTCCTACTTATTTCTCCTATTGTTTTTTAAATTTACTGGGGTGGCTAGGTGGCTCAGTGGGTTGAGTGTCTGACTTTGGGTCAGGTCATGATCTCCACCTCGGTTTGTGAGTTCATGCCCCACACTGATCTCACTGCTGTCAGTGTGGAGCCCCCTTCAGATCCTCTGTCTCCCTCTTTCTCTGTCCCTCCCCCACTTGTGCTCTCTCTCTCAAAAATAAACTAAACATAAAAAAATTTCTTAAAATTATAGTCTATGTTAAATTTACACTGTAGCACTTCATGTAAAATACAGTTTACAAGAGTATAGTTCCTTTTACTCCATTCTTTATGCTAACTTGTCATCTGTTTTACTTCTATGGGCTTTATAAACCTCATACACAACGTTACTACTTTTGCTTTAAATTGTCTTTTAAAGGAATGAAAAGAAAGATAGCCTTTTAAATATTATCTACATATTTATTAGCTTACATACTTTTCATGCCTTCCTATAAGTCTGAGATTCCATTTGGTTTCATTTTTTCTTTCAGCTTGAAAAATTGTCTTAGCATTTCTATTTTTATAAATCAGCTGATAACAAGTTCTTTCAGTTTTCATTGATCTGAAAAGGTTTTTATTTTACCCTCATTTCGATGATAATTTTGCTGGATATAGCAATTTGAGTTGATGGTGCTTTTTTCCCCTTGCAACACTTTAAAATTTCACTTTCTGACTTTTTTCACCACCGTTTTTGCTGAGGTACCAGTTTGAGTTTGTATTATAGTTCTCCTGAGCATATACCTTTTTCTCCGGCTTCTGTTAAGATTTTTCTCCTCATCTTTGATTTTTCTGCATTTTGACTATGAAATGTCTCAGTATGTTTTTCTTTGTGTGTTTATCCTCCATAAGTTTCACCAAGCTTCTTGGATCTGTAAATTGACTTTCCAATAACCAGCTTTAGGAACATTTCATCCATCTTTACTTCAAATATATTTTTTCTGCTCTGTTCTCTTTCTCTTTTCATTTGGGTACTCTCATTATACATGTTAGATCATTGGTATCTTTCTAGAGATTACCAAGACTCTATTCATTAACAATTTTTTTTTTCTCTTGTTCTTCAGATTGAATGATTTCTTTTGATTTGTCTTCAAGCTCACCAACTTTTTCTTATGCAATTTTTGGTCTGCTGTTATGCTTATTTCATGAATATTGTATTTCAGGTAATGTAATTTACAGGTATAGAATTTCCATTTGGTTATTTAAAAAATTTTTTTTTAATGTTTATTTATTTTTGAGAGAAAGAGAGAGAGAGAGAGAGAGAGAGAGAGAGAGAGAGAGACAGAACACAAACAAGGGAGGGACATAGAGAGAGGGAAACACAGAATCTGAAGCAAGCTCCAGGCTCTGATCTGTCAGCACAGAGCCTGACACAGGGTTCAGACTCATGAGCCATGAAATCATGACCTGAGTCAAAGTCGGATGCTTAACTGTTAGCTTAACCAGCTAACTGACTAGTTATTTTTTATAATTTCCATTTTTATGCTGAGATTTCCCAGGTGTTTACTAGTTTACATTTTCTGTTATATCCTTAAACATATTTATAACGGTTACTTTTATGTCCTTGTCTGCCCATCCTAACACTTAGGTCACCTTTGGGTCTATGAACAAAACTTTACGGGCATGCAACTATGCTCACTCATTTACATATTGTCTGTGGCTGCTTCCATGCTACAATGACAGAATTGAGACATTGTGAAAGGGAACATATGACTTGCAAGCCTGGAGTTTTTTCCCTTTGGTCTTGTAAGAAAAATTTTGCCAACTTCTGCTCTAAAGAATGCCCCAGACTTGAGGCCACATTACTTCCTCCAATCACATGGCCTTCCTGGGGTCTCTGGAAATGATCAAAGAGCCCAGAAAGGTCTCCCACTCTGGCTGGGTTGGAACTCCAAAGCCTCTCAGCACTGAGCTACCTCTGTTAGTACTCAATCCTAGGGCAGCCACTCTCTGCTGGGCCTTACAGAGTTTTGCCCTGCTTATGTGCAGCTCTGCCCTCGGCCAAGGATCTACCAGGAGCTGCCACACAGACTTGTAAGAACTCATCTCTGCAGCTCCATTCTCTCTGGTGCCATGCCCTACAAATTCCTTTAGCAGCCCTGAACTTCACTCTTGCCCTCTTCAGTGCAGGGCAAGAGGGACATAGAATCTGTGTCTTCTAGAGTCTTCTGTGCCATTCTATCACTTCACTTCTTGGCCCTGTGGTTTGGAAGGTTTCCCTAGGCAAAAATCCAGGGTGAATGTGCTGTTCACTTCATGGGCTTCCCTTTTCTCAAGGACCTCTGTCCGGTGCTGCCTGGTGTCCAACGTCTAAAAATAATTGTCTCATTTATTTGTCATTTATTGTTGTTGATGGCAGGAGGGCAAGCCTGGTACTGGTTACTCAGGAAGAAAGTTGCTTTTTATTCCTTTTTTACTCTTTTTTTTTTTTTAACGTTTATTTATCTTTGGGACAGAGAGAGACAGAGCATGAACGGGGGAGGGGCAGAGAGAGAGGGAGACACAGAATCGGAAGCAGGCTCCAGGCTCTGAGCCATCAACCCAGAGCCCGACGCGGGGCTCGAACTCACGGACCGCGAGATCGTGACCTGAGCTGAAGTTGGAAGCCCAACCGACTGAGCCACCCAGGCGCCCCATTATTCCTTTTTTACTCTTATATTTAATCATATGCAATTATGACTGAAATGGCCTCTAAGTTACAGTGAATAAAAGCATAGTCTTAGATGAAATGTGTAAAGACTTTAATTAAATCTACCTAACTACTATATTTCTTTTTTGCTAATTGGGCTATCCCTCTGTCTTTTTACTTAGTAATTGGAGACATCCTCCATTCATGTATTTTGTTTTTGTTTTGGGGAAAAATAAAGATTTAATGACTACCATGCTGTTCTATACTCATAGGAAATGTTCAAACCCATTACAACATCATGTATGTATATTTTACTTTATTTTTATTATTTATTTAGAGAGAGAGGCAGAGAGAGAGCATGCCAGAGGTGGAGAGGGGCAGAGGGAGAGAGAGAGAATCTTAAGCAGAAATTGTGCTGTGCATGGAGCCCAACGTGGGGCTTGATCCCACAACCCTGGGATCATGACCTGAGCCAAAATCAAGAGTCAGATATTCAACCAACTGAGCCACCCAGGCACACCTATTTAATTTTTTAAATTGAACGTTAGTCGACATACAATATTATATTAGTTTTGAGTGTATAACACAGTGATTCGACAATTACATACATTACAAAAAGGTCACCACAATAAGTGTAGTTACCATCAGTCACCCTACAAAGTTACAATGTTATTGACTATATTCCCTGTGCTGTATTTTCAATCCATTATGTATTTATTTTATCCTTTAAAACTACCACTACTAGAAAATAATTCAAAGCTAATAGCACTATTTCCTATGCTAAAAATATTTGTAGAATTGGGAAAATATTATCTCATACTGTCTATAGACGTCATGTTTTATTGCTGCAGCCTCTTGTCAGGTTGTGCTAGCTGGAGTTTCTGCTGATGGTCCCTAAATTTCAATTTCAGGTAATTGGAAGCAGGTTATTTTCTAGAAGGCACTGCATTATGCTGATTGTGCAAAGTGCCAACATGGATAGCTTAGTTTCTGGGCCACAGAGAAGCTCTAAATTAGCAGATTAATTTGGACTGCCTTCTTAAAATTTCAGTTATTTTACAGTTTACCTCAACTTTAGAACTTCTTGCATCAGGAAATCTTAGTGATTTTACATTACTAAGTACCTCTTAGATGTTAAATTGATAAGCATCAATGTGAATTTTTGGAATAAGCACCCATAGACACAGAGATAAATTCCAGTTCAGAGGAGTAACTGAAGTTCTGAGATGTGTGTAAATCATGTCATAAGAGGAACTACCAAAGGAATTTGGGCTGATGATGAAAGTGTTAAGTGTTCATTTTTCAGCACACTTTAAGGGCTGTTTTAAGTGCAGGAAGGACTATGCAGAGGCTTGTTTAAGCTTTTGAAGTTAGTAATAAATTTATTATAGTTACAGATTCAAAACCCTTAAGGTTTGAAGTTCAGCTTACAAATCTTATTTTATTATATATCAAGCACATTTTTGCAATCACTTGTAAGGCTCTTTGACTAATATTTGGCACTATTTATGGATCTGTTCATCAAATATCTTCAAATACTTTACACTGCATTTGTATATTTAATGTATTTCAGGTTAGGTCTTTAGCCTTAAAAATCTTTTGACCAATAAACCTTTCCAAGTGTTTAAATAATTCTTAGAAATCTGATAAGTTTGTTAAACTTATAACAAACTTAAAATTCTATTTTTTGGGGGTGGGGGGAAAGCCTGAAAAACAAAATGATTAAAATTAAGGACGTGTGTTCATCCAAAGACACCACAAAGAGACTGAAAGGCAGGTCACCAAAGGACTTAACACTTGCAATTTGCGTATTGAAAAAGGCCCATGTTAGAATAGGTAAGGAATTCCTAGAAATCAATGAGTGAGGCAGAAGACCTTCCTTAATACTTCCTGACCTTTGAGTGGGGAAGACCTGGAGAGAGGAATCTATGAGATGAGTGGCTGCTGAGGTAGCTGTTTAGTGATGGTGGCAAGAGGCTGGGGGACAGAGTGTTGGATAATCCCTGGTGGCTCCAGGACTGGTGGGGGCAGGGAGACACAGGTAGATGCCCGTGGTGGGGGGGCTCCTCCTCTGTTGACACCCGTTCCCCTGGGCCTGGGAGACCTCCTCCAGGAGGTGCTGGAAGGTGCTCTGTGGGAACTCTTTCCTCCTCCTCAGAGCACTCCACTCCAGCCTGACCTCATTTCCTGGCCTGAGGTGGGGGTCCTTAGAATCCCCTTCCACATGCTTAGGCTCTTGCTCCAGTTTCTTCTCCCAGAGTTTCAAGGTCAGTCCGGTCATTTCATCTGCCACCGAGGGGTCCAGCATCCTGGGACGATAAAGAGACAGGGGACACTATAGGCCCACCTTCCTACCTGGTGCTCAGGTTATCTGCAAGAAAGAACTGTTCAGCTGGAGAGTGAACTTAAGATTCTCTTAAATGTTCCAGTGCTTCTTCCCAATGTAGAAGATTTCAACCAAAAATTACAAGTTGATACTGACTACTCAATTACACATTTAAATTCTAATTAGGGGGCACCTGGATGGCTAAGTCAGTTGAGCATCTGACTTCAGCTTAGGTCATGATCTCATGGTTCGTGAATCTGAGCCCCGCATCAGGCTCTCTGCTGTTGGCATGAGCCCACTTTGGATCCTCTGTCCCCCATCCCCCTTTCTCTCTTTGCCCTTCCCTCGCTCATTCTCCCTCCCTCCCCCAAAAATAAATAAACAAAACAAAACTTCTAATTAGAAGGTAGACACTCTGATAGACTTATTTCTCCTAAATATTCCTAATACAGAAAGCACTAAATTTGCACACACTCTAGTCTCAATAGAGTAACATATGGCCTTGGTTATCTTAAATATTTCTGTGCTTGGTTCTGAATCCTCTTTGGACTCTAAGATTCACTTCACTATGGAAACCATTTCCTTGTCCCATGCATTTTGGGGCTGACTGTCTCAGCTTGCCTGACGTGGCTTACTGCCTGGAAACTTCAGCCAGAAGAAGGTTTACTATATATTCTTTTTGGCAATCTTGACAGGACACACTGAGTCCGCTTTTGCAGCTTTGTCATTGACTCTGTGATTTCCGGAGCCAAAAGGTCACTTAGCCCTCAAACCTTTAATTCTCTCTGCAGGGAAGCCTGCAGACCCTCTTCTCTTGACTCTTAACATTTGCGAACAAATACAACAAATACAAGTTGTCTACATACAACTTGGCTGCCCTTTGGGTTTTCTGGAAGCTCGTAAGAGCTATTGCAAATACTGAAGTGATAGCAAATTGAATTTTTGAAATCTCTTCTGGCTTTGTAGACTAGTTGCTTGCCGCTCCAAAGTCATATTCCTGGTAGGTGTGTGACTCCAAAGTCATATTCCCGGTAGGCTCCCGGAGAGCCCTTGTAACTGCAGTCACGACAATTCTGTGATTTTCACAGAATAATTTTACGTGTTTATCAGAATCAGGCATCCACAGGTGCCTTTTTGTGTCTACGTAACAGGTGTTTCTCAAACAATCTGGCCATTCAGTTATGATTCATCTTAGTCCACAGTCCTGGTTTATTGTGTTTGTAATGTTCCTCCACCCCTTCCTCCACCACCATCCATTCTCCTGAATCTCTTCTTCTCTCCATTATACACAACAAATGAGTGCCTACTTCAGCTGGATGTGGTGCTAAAAACAGAAAGGTGGGGCGCCTGGGTGGCACAGTCGGTTGAGCGTCTGACTTCAGCCAGGTCACGATCTCGCAGTCCGTGAGTTCGAGCCCCGCGTCGGGCTCTGGGCTGATGGCGCAGAGCCTGGAGCCCGTTTCCGATTCTGTGTCTCCCTCTCTCTGCCCCTCCCCCGTTCATGCTCTGTCTCTCTCTGTCCCAAAGATAGATAAACGTTGAAAAAAAAATTAAAAAAAAAAAATAGAAAGGTAAGCGAGATAGGGGAACCTGGCTGGCTTAGTCACTGGAGCATCTGACTCTTGATTTTGGGGTCAGGAGTTCGAGCTCCATGTCGGGTGTAGAGATTACTTAAAAAAAAAAAAGCTAAAAAGGCAAGCAAGGAAGACACATATAGTTATTAAACAAATATACCCTAATAACATTTTAAAACTTTAAAAAATTGAGCTATAACTTTCATATCATAAAACGTACACATCTTAAGGATAAGCTCAATGGGTTACCAATAAATTAGGAGTTATCATAAGTGCCAGGAAACTTATTCAAGGATAATTGCAATTTTACCAATGAGCATATATCCCAAATAAAATCAATGGACTTTGTCTTGAAATGTCAGTTTGAAGGCCATTACTCAGATATTTGTGAGTTGTTGGTTTGGAGCGGGATCAATAAACTACGGCCTATGGGGCAGTGTAGACTATTTCTGTATGGTCTAGGAGCTAAGAATGTCTTAAAATTTTTACATGATTTAAGGCAAATAGGGGAAGGAAAAGAGGGAACAGAAACTATATGTGAGCAGCAAAGCTTAAAATATTTATTAACTGGAACCTTTAGAGAAAAAAATTTGCTGACCCTGAAGCTACAGAGAAAAGAATTAACTAGAAGCCAAGGATAATGGTTCTTTTTCTTTGCTCTCTAGCCTAGTAAGCCAGATGTGTCAACAGGTTCTCTCTCACTGGCACTGACATGTTGCTTAATCAGAAAAGGGTTTAAATTTTTACTAGCTTATGTCAGCCCCACCTAGTCATATTAAATGCAGGGAAGAGTTTGCTAAAACACCTTGCCAGACCACTAAGCCAGGACACTCAGAGGTGGTGACTCTCAACCTTAAGAAGGCCTGGATTTTTCAGAAATATAGAAATAGTTATGGCTGTGTTTACCTATTTTCAAGGCTATGCGTGTGTTTGGAAGACTTTGCCATAGATATTGGCATCATCTGGAACCTTTGCAGTAGAGGGGGGCTGGGGAGAAAGCAGATAAAGTATACATGGGGCTCTGATTCAGCACATATCCTGCCACATATCCTATCCCTCCTTCTCTCTCCAAATAATCTCTATGCTGTTTCCTCAAGTCTAATCCAGCTCACAGTATGCTTCATTCAGCAGTCAATATCCTACTCTCCAGAGGGAAATTCCGGCTCAAATAAGGCCAGGCTGGCCAGCATTTGGTCTGATTACCGATGGGGGCTACATGGGAGTATCTAGGCAGTGTCGGTGTTAGAATTGTAGCTGTGGTTTGGGTTGGTCGATATTGCTGGATCAGCTATGGTTACTGGCATAGAGAGGAGAGGCTAGAAATAACTAAGAGAATGTTTGAGCCCTAACAAAATGGGTGGGTCTCGGGAGAAAGTTTGTCCTGGAAAGGGAAGTAGAGTGTAAGCCAAGAAATTTGTGCAAAAGCCAAGAACAAGAATGACTGGGGTCAGAGACAGATTGCCATTTGTTGGGCTCAAGGCTCGGTTGGGGCACATGGCATTCCAGGCTAGGGGTAGGAAAATGAACTTCAGACCTTATCCATTTGCAGGGTCTCAAACAGCCTTGGGTTGGCTGTTGGAACTGAACTTGTCAGTTGGAGGTTGAATGGCAATTGCTGAGTGTGATTGGGTTGGTAAAGCCCAGGTTTGACAGGACTAAGCTGTTATTGTTATTATTATTACAAAAAGTATTTGATGGCATTTGCCATTTTATTGAGCAATTTCTATGTGCCAGACACCTTATAAATCATATCCCTACTCCTTACTACAACTTTATTGAAGCATGTACTATTACCCCTATTTTCCAGAGCAGACAACTGTAGGTCAAGGAAGTGAAGTGACTAACTTGGGCTGGTAAGTTGATTTTTTGTTACAAATCTCTCAGAGCCCTAAGTATAAAACTGCTTAATTTTATGCCTAATGTTCCTTCCATAAGGGGCATTTAAAAAATTCTTACAACCCTAAAGCAATTACTTATTCTACATCCTGGAATATGGTCCTCCCTAGGGATTTTGGATACAGAATAAATCTAACCTCAGAATCTTCTGACATGTTAGTATAATGTACTTACTTAGCCAATTCTAACTAAACATCTTTTTTATGTCATGCACTGTGCCAGTTGATGAGTGTATGGTAGCAAATGAAATATGCATGGTCACAGCCCTCATTGGGCTTCCAATAAAATGGGTTAGATAGACACTGAACAAGAAAATAAGAGAAGCCTGGGTGGCTCAGTCAGTTAAGTGTCTGACTTTAGCACAGGTCATGGTATCACAGTTTGTGAGTTCCAGTCCTGCTTCAGGCTCTGTGCTGACAGCTCAGAGCCTGGAGTCTGTTTTGGATTCTGTGTCTCCCTCTCTCTCTGCCCCTCCCCTGCTTGTGCTCTGTCTCTGTCTCTCAAAAATGAATAAACGTTAAAAAATTAAAAAAAAAAAAGAAAAGAAGATAATAGGTATGTAATCATAAACTTTGCAATGTTTATCTTAGTTTACTGGGTGATGTGTGAGAGATATTAATAAAGGGATTTACTTAAAAAATTTTTTTTGAGAGAGAGAGACAGAGTGAGGTCAGGGGAACAGCAGAGAGAAAGGGAGACACAGAATCCAAAGCAGGCTCCAGACTCCAAGCTGTTGGCACAGAGCCCAGTGCAGGACTCGAACCCACGAAGCATGAGCCAAAGTCAGATACTTAACCGACTGAGCCACCCAGGTGCACCTAAGGGGATTTGCTTTAGATTAAGTAATCAGGGAAGGCCTCTTAGAGGAGGTAACATGCCTGAGCCTGAAGGCTGAGCTGGAGGCACCTAGAAGCAATGGTGCTCATGATTTGCCCCTGGGGGACATTCAGCAATGTCTACAGATATTTTGCTTGTCACAAGGGGGGGGGGGGAGGGGGCCGGGGTGGTTTTGCTGGTAGTTTTGCCAGTATCTAGTGAGTAGAGGCCAGAGATGCTATTGAACCTCCTTCAGTGCAAAGGGCAGCCCCTCATGCCAAAGAATTTTCCAGCCCCAAGCGGCCCTGAGATTGAGAAATGACATTTGAGGTAATTCAAAAGTAGTCAGCAAGCTCCCATTTTCCAGGAATTCTCAGATTTACTCCAAACAAGGGGGAATTCTTAGATGAAGCATTGTAATAACACTTTCCTTACCTGCTTTTAGAGTCTAGTAAAAAAGTCCCTAGTACAATTTTAAGCATAAATTAAGCAGGTCAGATGCTGGCTACTGACTCTCTTACATCATTGGATTTTTCTAGCAAAAGTTGCCCTTGTCACTTTGATCTTTCACACGTGTCCACGTTTCTTGCTGGAGCTGACTAGGTAACCTCTAGACAGGGTCCGACTAGGTCATTTCTAATGGCTTAATATGTCACTATTCCCAGAACAATGCAGCACTACAGAAATTTCTGTACGT